GGGGGGGGGGGTGGGGGGTAAACTAGGGAACTTACAGTCGTTACCCTTTGAGTGCGTTCTGAGTAAAGTCCGTTTCTGACTTGAGGGGTCTCAGGACCCCGTAAACTGCGACAGAGATGTTGTATATGTATATGTATATGTATATGTGTATACTTTGAAAATGGTTAATCTAAATTACTTAGCACCCTGAACATTAAAAACTTTTTGATACCAACAAGAGTTGTGGTGGAGTCGTAAGTACTCCTCCGTTCTTAACCAGAGGTCTCGAATTCGAGTCTTAGTATAAAACGTTTTTGTTAGGGAGTGATTTATCCCCAGTAAGAGACTTTCTGGCACAAGTTCGAATTTAGTTGGAACCCCATGCGGGTGTTGGTCACTAGGTAGGAAACCAAAAAATAAAATTAATTTTGATAGGTATCATTTTTGTATAACTAGTAAACAAATTGCTTCAATCTGATTTGGTTCTTAAACAATTATCTAATTTATTATCGGTATTACAAAATCACAATTTGTTTAAATAACCAAAACCAATGAGATTATAAAGTTAATCAATCTTGACTTGTCAGATATTTTCAATGACTAATTTTCTCGATTCAATTTATATTTCATGTAANGAGAGAGAGAGAGAGAGAGAATTTCCTCTTGGCTTATTCTAGTATGGAAAATATTTTGTTTCCTGTTTTAGAAGATACTGAATTTTTTTCAAATATCAATAAGGCAACTTACCATAATCAAGTATGGAAGTTCAATCAATTACGAACTAATTTTTTCAATTAATTACCCAAAATTATCTGCTTAAACTACAATCTATGGTACAATTATGTAAAGACTTAAATTGTTCTTTTACATCTATAATTGCCTGGTGCTGAAAAAAATTACGTAGCCTCTGCTGCAAACAACTTGAGAGACCAGGTATTCATCTTGTTCCTATTTGTATTTCATCCTCCTGAAAATTTTCATATTGATTTTTCTATTTTTTTTTTTCAAAAAAATATTTTAGTTACATCTTTATAATATGCTTTAATAAAAATCTAGTTCTTTACCTTAGATGATCAGATGAACTTCTTTTGTTTTAGTGTATGTTACTATGATATATTCTTTTCTTTTCGTTTTGTTGTTGTTGTTGTTATTGTTGTCAGTGGCGTATGTAGCATTATGTTTACGAGTTCAATTGAATCCATAACTTTTAAGGGGAGAATAAATTTATGCATAAAAGCTTATTAAAATAGTAAGAAATAATGAATATGAACTCATAACTTTGAAAATATGATGAGTTCAATATTAAAAACCTTAAATATTGAATCCATAAAATTTAAATTATGGATCTGCCTCTGTCACTTGTTGTTATTGTTGTTGTTGTTGTTGTTGTTATTGTTTTGGTTTGTGCATGCTATTTCCGGGGATAATTAAAAGTTTTATTCATGAAAAATACAATAGATCGATTAAGTTTTCTCCTGTAATTAATTATAAAATGTAGTTGGGAGTTATTTAAATGGGATAATTAATATCCGATCATGTATTTAATGGAGCTAGATGTTTGCTCTTGCTTGTTTTTTTATTAACAGATAATAAATAATTTTATTGATTTTCCTCTTGTATTTCTTTTAATTACATTGTATATGTGTATATCAACTAGTTGGAATTAATGTTTAGGATTTTTTTTTTAGATTCAAAGATTTCATGACTCTTATAGAAAATTTTCAATTTGTAGTAAAAGACAAATTATTGAGTAGAGGAATTAAACATGTTCAAATTGATTTGAAAAACTCGTTGAATCAATCTCAATCGTTTGAAATTGATGAGGCATAATTGTTCAATCGATCCGAGTTTACATAATATTTTAATATAATTTTTCCTCTTGTTTTTGGTTTTAATTGCATTATGAATCAACTAATGGGAATTAAGATTTTTTTTTCTATCTTTTTTTTTTTTGGCTGAAGAATTGAATATTAAGGTTGAATATCTTTGTTTGATAGAAGTCTCTTGAGTTAAGGTAGCTTATCCGAAGATTTCATAGAATTATTTATTTATAGAAAATCTTTGATTTGTAGTCCAACACAAATTATTGAGTAGTGGAGTTAAGCACGTCCAAATTGATTTAAAAATACCGTCCTAACTTATTTGAGATTAAAAATTATTATTATTTTACCACTGGTTCACATGAGGATGGGGGAGTAGAAGTTACAAGTTTGACCGAATTCAGTAATTTTGGTCCAAATATTTATTATAGAAAATTTATTGAATAAGTACAAATCATTGATTTAGAACTCAATAATTTAAAAATTCAGAATCCTGAAACGCATATAACTTCAAATTCTGACTCCGCATCTGAATCCAAATATATAAAGAAGTTAATCGAATAGCTGATACCTACCCGGAACTGTTAATGCTTGTAATACCTCTGTTTAGAATTAATATATATGTATCTTTATTACAAAAAAAGAAGATTGAGATATAATTGTTGTTGTATAATCATTATTATATTATTTTAATCATGTGTAATAGAGTTAAATTTACCATCTTTGTGTTTTGAAACTAATGATCAGTAACTAAGACGAGATATGTGTTTGGTGACGAATACAAAACTCATAAACTTTAAATCCTAACTTTAACTCTGCTCAAGGGGTGTCCAAAGGCGGACCTATACTATACCGTGAGAGGTCATCGGTATCCATAAAGTTCAGTAAAAATTTCATATATACATGTATATATCTTTACAAAATAGTGATATATCAGTAGTTGACACCCTATATACAAAGTAGATTTTGGTTGAATCCAAAACTGCATCCCCGACCTTCAAATACTGATACGCCTATGGAGGCGTCGATGTGTCAATTGACACCCCTCCGCGGGAAAATTATATAATGTAGCTAGATTAAAAAAAAAATTATGTATGTATACTATACGTTGAATATTCTCGACTTTTTCGTGTAGTTACCTTTTTATATTTTGACTCCTCTTAGTAAAAATTCTGATCTTGAGTTGAGAGTCTATCAGCACCTCTCTGCTCCATCGGGATATGGTTAAGGTCTGCATACATACTATTCTCCCCAGTGAGATTTTATTATTATTGCTGTTGTTGTTGTTATTAGTGAAAATCCTGACTTCGTTACTGTCCCCACCGGATTCACAATGGAAGAGGAAACAAACATTATGATGTCAAGCACCACAACATACCTAACTGGAGATTGTGATTCAAGCAGTACAAATAACATGCAGTCCAAAAAACACAAAAGAAATGCATATACAAGAAAAGCTTGTATTTCTGGTTCAAGATTTAAAGGTGTAGTAGGGCAACACAATGGCCATTGGGGAGCTCAAATATATACAAATCAACAAAGAATTTGGCTTGGGACATTCAAATCAGAAACAGAAGCTGCTATGGCTTATGACAGTGCTGCTATTCGACTTCGTAGTCAAGATTCACATAGAAATTTGCCTTGGACAAATTCTACAGTTCAAGAACCAAATTTTCAGAGACAGTTTTCAACTGAAGATATTCTTAGAATGATCAAAGAAGGTTCTTATCCTACAAAATTTGATGAGTATTTGAAAGAAAAATATGAAGAATGTCACCCTTTCAATACTTTGCCAGTGGCGGAGCTAAAGGTAAGGAAGGAGTTCGTCGGAAAATTATACTGTGTGCAAGTAGGGTAAAACAACTTTTTTCCAAATTTATATTTTGTTAGTGTACAGATTTTTTTACGCTATCAGGTCACATAAAAGATATTTACAAGTAACCTTCCACGAATGGTGAAATCTGCAATCTATAAGTAACCTTCCACGAAAAGTAGTTGTAGATATAAGTATCTTTATTACAAAAAAGAAGGTTGAGACATAATTGTTATTGTATAATTATTGTTATATCGTTTCTATTAACATGTGTAATATAGTTCCACGAAATGTGAAATTTGTAAGGCACGTCACCTGCTACAACATAATCTGATAGTATAAAAGAATATTATACTGTCAGTGTATATAAGTTAAATGCATATATAAACCGATAAATTCCCTTAACAAAAAAAAGAAGCTTGTAAGTGTAACATTCTTGCATATATACACTTACAAGCTTCTTTTTTTAAAAAAATTTCTTATTAAAATTCCTGACTCTGCCAATGCTTACAGGCGAACGAGGGATTCTCATACAAGCAGCTTTTCCAAAAGGAGCTGACTCCAAGTGATGTGGGAAAGCTAAATAGGCTTGTAATCCCAAAGAAATATGCATCAAAATACTTCCCACAAATCCAAGAAGTTCCAGATGTTGAGTTGGTGTTTTATGATACCTCAAGAAGACAATGGAAGTTTCGTTATTGCTATTGGAAAAGTAGCCAAAGCTTTGTTTTCACAAAAGGCTGGAATAGGTTTGTCAAAGATAAAGGTTTAAGAGCAAATGACACAATTGTTTTCAACTTGTGTGAGTACAAGACTGGACCAAAAGAGATTTCTGCTGATTTTGTGATAGATGTGTTAAAAGGTGTTGAGGTTTTGCCAGAACCAAAAGTGGAAATTGAAGAAAGAATGAAGACACAATCAACTGATGATCATGCTGTGGAACCAGTTTGGCTTTTTGGGGTGCAGATAGGCTGGTCGACTAACAACGACGACGACGACTATATGAATCGTCACTTCTTCATTTAAGTTCAACTCATATCATCGTCGTCCTAATGCAATAAGGCTGGACAGAGACAAAAAAACACCCTTTTTAGCAATTCTGCTACTAGCATTAAGTACTTTAATGTTTTTTTGGGGGGTGCATGAGACTTCTAAAGTTTTTTTTAAGGGGAGCCTCGGAGCAATAGTAAAGTTGTTTTCGTGTCACCTGTGGGTACTGATACTTGTGTCAGGGTAGGCTACTTAAGTTACATCCCTCGGGGTGCAACCCTTTCACTGGTCATAAGTGAACGCAAATTGCTTCGTGCGACGGGTTGCCCTTTTAGTTAAAACTTCTAATTTTTTGCTTGAATGGTCTCCTAGAAACCGAGCAGCCTTAAATGACAGTGTTACCATATTTTTGTTATATTGATACAAAATTAGGCTATGACCCTTTCTTGTTGCTAATGGTAATAGCTATTCAAGGAAGAATAGCATTTGAGTTTAGTTTTACTCCCAATTTCCAGAATAAAATATTCTTCTAGTTAGATATATTGGCATCAACATTAAATTGAACATGTATGAGACAGCCACAAGTCATTTTATATTTTTTAAGCAAAATAATAAGAAGAAAAAAATAGTTTAAACAAGTTTCTAAAAAGGAAAATATGAGAAGAGGGAAACAATAAACTTGCCCATACATACAGCTTGCCTCACCACAATTCTCATGTATAATTCATATATAATCATGTATAATATTTGCATAATCAATATATAATTTATGTATACTAGCTAAGAAAAATAAACAATAAATCCGGCTAGCTATTCATGTAAAGATCCCTTATTAGTTCGACGATCAAATTGGTCTGGCATCACTAAAAGGGCAGCGTGATGCACTAAGCTCATGCTATGCGTGGGATCCGGAGAAGAGCCAAATCACAAGGGTCTATTATACGCAGACATCACTAACACATCATAATTAATAAGAAAATATAAGAGGAATTGATACCGTATAACAATGAGTAACTATAATTGGCATTTTATTGGCCATAAATTTAGGTTGGCACTAGTAGCCCAAAACAATTGGCGTAAAATAGCCAAATCCGAAAAGACACGATTATATAACCCCTCAAAATTGGGGAGATTTTAAGATTTTGTCCCCCTAATCACGCTTGCATGATGTATCCCTTCAGAAGCATAACTACCCAGTCGACCAAAATAAAACCAAATGCAGAAACTATATTTCCTTCAAAAATCAAAAAGGGTGCGAAGTTTTTTCAGCCATCACGGAAATTGAATATCAAATTTCTGTATTCTGATGCAATAATTAGTGCTTTCTTTGACAACAATTTTTTTTTTGAAGTTCTAAGAAATTGGCTGAAGAAGGGTTTCAATCTCTGTATATAGAATACATATTCAATGGCTACTTTTTCGATTTTGATACAGCACGGAGGACACTGGGATAGCAACAATCGATTTGTGGATTACTCAGTTGAAGGCGTGGTGATTATCACATAAACTAAATTTAGTGATTTTGTTTCTACAATTTCAAAATAATTGATGGTTGACACCACAATTAATTTGCTTGAAATTCAGTATAAATGCGATGATGATTCACCGCCAATGATGATGCACAATGATATGGGATTGCGTGTATATATCAAGTTGAAGAAGAAAAATTATGCATTTAATGAATATCTGTGAGCACATGATTTTTGCCCTATGAGAATTACTCTCAAAAAATTCAAAATAAAATAATTTTTTTCCCGTTGTTTGCAATTTTGTGAATTTTTATAGTATTTTCTGTCATTATTTGCATGAGTTCTTGCATATTTGTATGTTTAAATAAATGAAAAAATACAAAAAATAGATTGCATTTGCATTTAGGATTTAATTTTATAATCTTTTTAGTTGAGTAGTAAATTACTTATTTTTATAAAAATGAAAGAATCAAAAAATAACGTATTTTGCATTTTTAAAGTGTTTAATGTCAAATTGTGTGATTATTTTATTTTTAGTATTTAATTACTTGTGATAAATATTATTTAAAGTGGATTAGTATTTTAAGTCAATTTTGGTTTTATAATTTGAGTTAGGATTTTTGGTTTTAATTTTGAAGACAATTTAGGAAGAAAAAAGAATTAATAAAAGAAAAGGAAATCAAATTGGGTAAAACTCAATTTAACTACCAAAGCCCAAATCAAATACACCCCAAACCAGCCCAGACCCGTCTCCCCCAACCCGGTCCATCTCCAGTCTCAACCAAAACGACATCGTTTGGACATGCTTTAATCTTGGCCGTTGAATCAGCCTGATCGAACGGTACCGAACCTTTCCCACAACCCGACCCATTCTCATACCCGGACCACCCACTTAGCCACCAAACGACCCCGTTTTTTCCCTTGATCAATCTGGATCGTCGATCCCCTCTAATCCTACGGCCCCGGTTAATTCCCCATTTTAATATACCAAACACCCCCACTCGTCTCTTCAGAGACCAAGAGCATGCACCACCGCACGCCGCCCTCTTCCACCCACCGGAAATTGCCTCACGGCGGTTCCGGTGGTCCAATCCCTTCCATTTTTACACCATAGAAACATCTCGAGCCCCTCTTTCCAAATCCTAGACTGGTTTCCTTCGAATTTTACCAAAATTGCTCGAATATTGAATCTAAGATTGAGCCCTAGAGGTTCAAAATTTGATTTTTTCGCGAACCCAACGATATATATTGGTCCAGGCCCTTAGCGTTCCATGATTCGAAGACTGATTCCTCACAAAAACTGATACTGCTCACTTGTTCTTTACAAGAACAAGCTATTATTATCAGTTTCGTATGAATCATGATGGCAAGCGATGTTTTCAGAGTCTAATCGGTGAATTTTCTTTACTATTTTTGCTCATCTTCAAACTCGCTTTACCTCTGTCTCATCTTCTTTTCTTCTACATATTTTGATTGGTCCATTCTCTGATTGAAGTTACGATTAGCTTCAGATTCAATTTCTTTGACTTAGGTGATGTTCGTCTATTCGTAGTTCCCTTAATTTTAGTCCCCGCTTCAATTTAGTTGTTTCTGTTTGTGTCTGCGCTTTGATTTTAGGTCTATTAATTATCTTCTGTATTCAATTAATAATGTTTGCATTTACCATTTGATTCTGATTGCCCAAATGATTTCGTTTTTGAGTATGTAAATGTTCAGAATTTCAAACTGATTGAATTAGAACTGTAGGGCTTTTAATCCAGGGGGTCTGCTAACAAAGGGTAGTGGTGCATTACTGAACTAATAAAAGAAAAAGTACTAAGTAGTGGAATGGATTAAAAAATAAAAAAGGGACTGGTAATGGCTAGCTTAATGCCCTTTAGGAGCTGGAAATTAGAGAAAATAGGGGATATAATTAAAAGGCTAAAAGATACAGGTGTAAAAGGGTATACAGTCTGGAAAAGGGGGAGGAACAGAATTAAGAAAGGACTGAATACACCTTAAGAGGGGGAGACTCACTGATATATAAAGGGGGAAGAAGCTAGACAGAAGGGGGGAGAAGAGAGTTGGAGAGCTTAGGAGATTGAAAGGAGAACATTCTGAGAGGATAGAGAGAACACAGACAGATACTGACCTTAAGGGAAAAGAGAGGAAACAGGAGGGGAGAATAAAAAAAATATACAGAAAAATACTAACAGTTGAAGGGGACTGTTTCATTGAACTCTTTCTGGATTTCTTTAGTTTTCTAATTCTGGAAACAGTTTTCTGATCTATTTGGGTTGAAAGGATTTGAGTTTGGTGTTTTAAAAGCTTGGTTTGAAGTTTGGTCGAGCTTGGTTGATTGTTGCACCTCATTGCTTGGTTTAAAGCTAGTTTTCTTGGTTGTCTCTGCTGCTGATCACTGCGCTTGCTACTGTCTTGCTGCTGCTGTTTTCTTCTTAAACTGCAAGCTCATTTGTCCTTATTTTGATTGTTGTAATCAGGTACATATCCTTGGACTATACTAGACGTGAAGTAAAAATTTGAAGCATGAAATGAAAAATGGAGTTCAAAGTATAGCATCAACGTATCTGTGTATATTTCAATTGTATCTTCTGCATTGTATTATGTCTCATTTCCAGATTCCTTGAATGTCCTAGTTAGTTTCTGATTCTAACAGTTGAATTCTTGCCATTGTATTTAATTTTGGACTGTTAGAAATATGGAAATAACTTAGTTGAAAGCATGTGACATTTTTTAAAAGTATTATTCAAAGTTTGGGGATATTGTTGTTATGATCTTGATCCATTTCATATGACACTGTTAGGCCAAGGCTTTGAAGTCCATTTTGGATTTATTTTCGTGAACATTTTCAGAAGTTTAGAAGTGTGGTGCATCTTAGCTTTAATTGTAACTTAATTATCTTGGTACTTAAATCTTTTATTTTTAAAAGTAATAACATAGATTCGTCCATTAACCATATATTCACTAATAATGATTAGAAATTGAATTCTTGAATGTAAAACGTGAAGATTCCGAGTTTACCGCATAGTCGTTTTCAGGCTGAAGAGCTAATTTCAAGAACATTCTATGTTTAATATTTCTTTTCCATATTATTTGATTTGAATTTTAGACCTAAATTTTAACGGCTTGGCTTAGGAAACAGATTTTATTTTTAGTTTACTTTCATTGAGGTTCAATTTTCAACTGATTGTAAATTTGAATGGTGTATTTCTAATAGTATCCCGTTCAGCAAATTGCCACAATAGATTGCTTTAAGCCATTAGTAGTTGTAAACTTTCCTACGAGCTATTGTGGCATCTCATCGTGTATGCTTATTTTATTAATTACGGATTCATTCTTGTGAGTTACATAACTTCGCTATTTCATAACGTGGCCAAATAATCTTAAAAAAATGAATCTCGTAGTTTGCTTAGGCGCATTAATTCAGCAATTATCATGGCTACGGGTACGGTTCCCGTGACGTAGTTGTGATTTGTAACTAATAAAGTCCAGGTGTGCATTTCATGTGACCAGGTTTTAAATAACCTTGAATTTTTCTTAATTAAATAAAAGCGGTTTAAAAGTTAA